GCTGAGGAACAACTTCAATGAAGAAAGCATACCGATCTGAACAAGAGAAAATGGAGTTTCGAAGCTCACAACAAATCTGACGGGTTGACAGACAAATAATAACCAGTCATTCATCATACCTGAATTTCTTGAGTTATACAGCTCCGAGGGATCTCAAATTTGGATATGTTGTAGTTCACAAGCTGAGGAACAACTTCAATGAAGAAAGCATACCGATCTGAACAAGAGAAAATGGAGTTTCGAAGCTCACAACAAATCTGACGGGTTGACAGAAAAAATAATAACCAGTCATTCATCATACCTGAGTTTCTTGAGTTATACAGCTCCGAGGGATCTCAAATTTGGATATGTTGTAGTTCACAAGCTGAGGAACAACTTCAATGAAGAAAGCATACCGATCTGAACAAGAGAAAATGGAGTTTCGAAGCTCACAACAAATCTGACGGGTTGACAGAAAAATATAATAACCAGTCATTCATCATACCTGAGTTTCTTGAGTTATACAGCTCCGAGGGATCTCAAATTTGGATATGTTGTAGTTCACAAGCTGAGGAACAACTTCAATGAAGAAAGCATGCTGATCTGAGCAAGAGAAAATAGAGTTTCACAGCTCACAACTAATCTGACGGGTTGACAGACAAATGATAAACAGTCACTCATCATACCTGGATTTCTGGAGTTGTACTGCTCCGATGGCTCTCCAATTTGGATATGTTGTAGTTAAGGAATTAACGAACAACTTTCATGAAGACAACTTTGTGATTCGACCTACAGATGATGGTGTTATGTTGAAAAACAATTCCGGTGGTTAGGGGAAATGAAAAACAATTCCACCAAAGAAACATCATTATGATGTTTCATCATTATGGTGTTTTCATCATTATGATGCTTTCATCATTGTGATGCTTCCATCATTGTGATGCTTCCATTATGATGTTAATGCACCAACGGTTACACCTTCTGCAATTCCACTTATTCGGGCCTAGCAACCTTCATAAACAAAATCTATGAAGAAAAAGTCCGGGGCTACCACTTAGAAAACAAAAGAATGAAGTTTTGGTACTTACGACATGGACTATTAGCAAGACACCTCATTCGTCAACTCCCTCGACTAGAGACTTGGGGGACTCCCACCATATGCTACTACGCCTTGGTACTCAAAAGTTCGTGACTACTCAGCGACTTGGATTTTTTCAAGTCTCCAACCGAGAAGTTTTCCTCACTCGGGAAATTAAGGGAACACTACCTCAAACTACATGCTTCACTCACAAAGCTTCAACAATACAGGTTTCAACAAAAGCAAAAATTCAAAGAACTTTATGAAGAAGGCTTTGGTGTATTTAACACAATATGTTGAAATGAAGCAAAGCTTATTTATTAATATTTTCGATAAGCCACAAATATGTACATATACATGAGTCAAAATAAACAAACAAAAGGGAGCCTTCACAAAGGTTGCTTAGGGGAAGTCTCAGCAGTCGGTAGAGCCCCAGAAAGAGAAAGCACCGGAGGGTGGTTATCCGGAGCCTCAGTACTTGACAAAACCCCAGAAGGAGGAGGCATTGGAGGTTCATCATTTGAAGCTTCATTACCAGGTACAGCCCCAGAGGACGAAGGCAATAAATGCCTTTGGAACAAACCCACAAACCGCTGATGATCAAGTAAAACCTTACCATCAGATTCCTTCATCTGGTCAAGCTTCCTCTTCATGTTTGTAGCATAGTCATGGGCGAGCCGGTGCAACTGCTTATTCTCATGCTTGAGCCCTCTAATCTCCTGTTTGAGACTCATCACTTCAGCAGCCAATGATTCAACTTGGCGGGTTCTAGCAAATAGGCGTTGGGCCATATTAGACACAGAACCTGCACACTGAACACTAAGAGCCAGAGAGTCCTTAACAGCCAACTCATCAGACCGTTTGGAAAGTAGTCTATTATCTTTGGGAGTGAGAAGGTTCCTGGCCACCACTGCAGCGGTCATATCATTCTTCATCACAGAATCCCCAACGGTAAGAGGACCAGTAGGGGATATGAAGGATGGGCGCCATATGTTGTCTGGAGAAGGCGTGGCTGTCTCTTCTCCAAGGTTCAAGTCAAAACGACGGTCGGAGGGTCCAGACATTTTCAAATGTGTTGAAGAAGGAAGAGGTCAGACAAATCAAGATCTTAGAAGTGCAAGAAATGAGCTTCTACTGGTAGAGATTCAAGTGTGCTGTGGAACTTAATGCCAGCCTCTATAAAAATCTGCACTCGACGGAGCTTCAGAAATCGAAGAGGCGTTTGCTTTCTCAAAAGCTGGGCTGCTCAGAGACCACGAGGGCCGATCTCAGAAATCGAAGAGGCGTTTGCTTTCTCAAAAGCTGGGCTGCTCAGAGACCACGAGGGCCGATCTCAGAAATCGAAGAGGCGTTTGCTTTCTCAAAAGCTGGGCTGCTCAGAGACCACGAGGGCCGATCTCAGAAATCGAAGAAGCACCTGCTTTTTCAGCCTCGTCAGCACCTGTCACATGCACACTCAGCTTTGCGGAAATTACGGGCAATCTGTCGAAGATTTCTGGTGAAGTAGAAAGCACGTGAATCTTACTGTTCAATCACCGCTCTCCATATGCACCATCAACTCCTCGGGTACCACATATAACTTTGTCAAAGATCTCTGACAAAGTTTAGGCACGAGAATTTCGAAGTTCCAGCTACCCTACTATTACCCATAAGGGTAAAGGAACAGCACCACTGCTTGACAACTGGAAAGTCCCTATGTGTGTCGACCTCCGGGTTTTGCGGCAAGACAGGTTGGCAAGAACGACCAACCTTTACTCACATTCGAGAAAAGACTCCCAACATAATTACTTTCTCAAAAACCGGAGTAGCACCGCTTTCCGAATCTCGAGAGTCAGATCCTCGACGGGATTGCTTGTTTCGAAAACCGAAGAGGCACAACTCTCAGAACTTCGAGAGCCAGATTTCCTTAGATAAAGCTTGTCTGTAATCTCCACACGTAATATCAGCTTTCCAGATACCACATACCACTTTTTCAAAGTGCTCTGACAAAATTAAAACACGTGAAGCTGGCAGCTCCCACTACATTGCTGTGACCAAGAAGGGTAAAGGAATAGCATTACTACTTGTTATTGGGAAATCCCTATATATACATTGACCTCCCTCCTCAACGGACAGGCAAACCTGCAAAAATGCTCAACCCTTTCTCGCATTCGAAAAGGCACCCTCAACACATAACCTCTCGAAATACTCAGCTTTATTTCCCCCCGATAATACCTCAGCAAATAAGCCACACCAAGAACAAGAGTATCTCATATCATCAGGGTCGAAAGCAAGAGTATCCCATATCATGCTTTCTCCCTGTCTTTGTCTTTGTCCTTGTCCACACCTGCAGGACAAGGAGAAAGAGAGCAGTCAGTCGGAACCTGAAATCAAACCTCCAATTTTGGAACTGACTGCCTGGAGCCTTTGCCTGGTTGCTTACTTAGCATTGCTCTCGAGTACTCATCCTCAACTGCTGTCAAGGTCACGAATTCCACCAGCAAATACCTCATGACAGTTGATCAGATATTGGCTCTTTACACTGAAGCTGCCAAGCGTGGATGAGTCACTATGAAGGAATGTTCTGAAGGACCATTTAAATGCAAAGGTTGCACACCACTTCTGCCATGCAAAAGATTGAAGCAGAAGGTTCAACGGTGAGCTGAAACAGATCACTACAGCACGACACCTTTCCATACCACATTCATTATTCCGTCAACAGCAAAAGTATCCCATATCATCAAGGTCGAACGTACTCTAGATTTGATGGACTTGTTTTGACCCTCAAATTTTTTAGTCGGCCTTATACTCTGAAGGGCACCAGAAAACCCTCCAGCACAGTTCAAGAATAAGCCTGTGGAAAGTTACTTCTTCAAAAGCAAAAGTATCTCATATCATCTCTTATCCATTTGCTTCTCCTTATCCTGGCAGTTGAATGAAAGACAAGGAGAATGAGAACAATCAACCGGAAGCCGAAGTCAAACCTCTGATCCTGGGTTGCTTACTTGGAAGTTTGACTGCTTACCTTGTCTGTCACCTCTTTCGGCAGATCTCCTAGCTCGGCGACTTGGGGGACTCCTACTATAGGGTTTGTATCACACTTGACTAAGCCCGAAACTACAACTAAGCTTCAAGTGAAATTGATACATTACCTTGTGCGTCAACATCAGCTAAATACACCATTCCCGGATGGAGGAAAAGTACTTCCAGAGAAGGGCAAATGAAGATCAGACCACACTTCGGTACTTAGAAGTTTCGTGATTACTCAAGGGATTGGATCTTGCAAGTCCCCAACCGAGGAGTTTCCCTCACTCGGGAACTTAGGGGAGCACTGTTTGTACCATACTTGACCAATCCCGAAACTACCGAGCACCGGCCAACGCTATACTGTCAAGGACCCAGAAGAGTTCCCCTCCGACCAGGAGGCCAATCACTACTCGACACGTGTCAAGATTAGAAGCCAATCAGAGCGCAGCACGTGTCAACATCAAGAACCAATCATAACATGACACATGTCAATGTGACAAAGCTACAAGTTTTTCTATAAATAGGGGTCATTCCCCCACAATATGGCCTAATGCCATTTTGTGTTAAATCATTCACAAGAACTCACTAAATTGAGAGCTTGATCCTTTGTACTTGTGTAAGCCCTTCACTACTAATAAGAACTCCTCTACTCCGTGGACGTAGCCAATCTGGGTGAACCACGTACATCCTGTGTTTGCTTCTCTGTCTCTATTCATTTACGTACTTATCCTCACTAGTGACCGAAGCAACCAAGCGAAGGTCACAAAACCTGACACTTTCTGTTGTACCAAAGTCTTCGCTGATTTTGTGCATCAACAGAATTCTTGTTCTGGTCTTCCCAAGTTGAAGGGTTTCAAGAAGTTGCATTTGTGCATGCGGGCGAGCTTCTTTTATATGCAAGCTAATTGTTATGAGTATGATTTTGTTTCCCCCCTGCTTTCATGTTAATTTGTGAAAAATTAAAGAACCAAATACAGTTTTGCACATGTCTTAAACATTTTGAAAATTGCTAATTGTAAACTGGGTGATCCTTCGTAATGGTAATCTACCTGTTGCGATCGTGTAGGCTTCATTCTATGAGTGTTTTTGTTTTGTAATTGCCTGCGAAACTGTTACCAAAATAATGCAAAGTCGGTAGGATCTCACTAATAAACGGCCTCTTGGCTCCTGTAATACAGCAGCCCTCCAATCTCGAAAAGATGGCAACCAAGTACAAGATTGTTATGAATACCCATCCTTTGCGCAGAAAAATTAACAGATTTCATATTGAAAACGAACTTGGCCTCCGTCCGTACCCTCTTCCCGAATATTGTAAAATCCTTGTATTTCTCTCCGGCATCGGCACAAAAATGATCATGTCAAATCTCTTTTTGTGTTCTAGTCACTGACATTACAGATACCCCTCAAGCACAACACTCTCATTTGAAATCTTAGGCTGCAAATTCTCCACTTTCAGTCTTTTGCTCAGATCCTTCAATGCAACAGGAAAGTTCCCGACATCATTTTCATCCCACAGCGGCAATACTTCTACCACAATTTTTTGCAGCAAATTCTGCTCAATACCATCTCGGAGAAACTCTTCAAAATCACTAACATTTCCTTTTAAGTCGAACAAAACACTACACATTCCTTGAGAGTTACAGTATTCCAAAATAGCACTTAACCTTATTTGATCAAACACCACTGTTTCGATGCCTGTTTGAGCTCTCTCTAGTTCTACCGATGTCTCCTTGTCTGCAAAGACCATTAGCTTATCTGTGGGTTCCACTGTGAGAGCAGAGATTTTGATTGGAGAACTAATATTCCTAGCTATTATAATCCGAAGTGGTTGATTGGCTCCAGCTTCTTGGATGCGGGAATAGAGACGTTCTCCATTATTGAGGAAGGAGAAAGAATAACTGCATCATATTCCTGTAACAATTGCGAATAGTAACCACCAGACTTGGCAGCTCCTTCCCCAAGCTGATCCAGAAAGCGTCCATTGACTGAGATTGAGTATCTGCAAACAAGAGGAAAGTCTCAACTTCACAGTACCAAGCAAACAAATAAAAAAAATCTTTTGGTTACACAGCACAACAATCAAAGACATCACGGCTCGAATAAGGTATCATTTCCACTCATTTTTATGTCCATTGATTTTCTCTTGCTATTGACTACTGTAAACAGAATAAATTTACCTGATAGTGACGAAAGGATTCCCCGTTAGCATACTATGGATATACGCCTCATTTAGCCTCTTGCACAATTCTTCCTCTACGCATGTAGCAACATCAATTCCTGCATCTCTTAATCTATCCAATCCCCTTGATGCTACAATTGGATTCGGATCTACCATTCCGACCACCACTCTTTTCACTTTGGCTTTGATTAGTGCTTCACTGCATGGTGGAGTTCTCCCATAATGATTACATGGTTCCAAGCTCACATATGCTGTTGCATTCTCAGCCAAATCCCCAGCATCTCTCAGAGCAAAGACCTGTAACATTTAACTTCCGGGTATAAATTTTCATTAACAGCTACTTATAAAAAGATAAAACACTTAGACAGCATGTAGTATCCACCTATCCTTTCATTCTTTTAACTTCTAACGGATCTCTCTTGCTCTCTGCAAACGCACGGACACAGAAAGACCCCACCATTACGAAACTAATAATTTAAAAACTTTATAAGCACAAAACTTTTAGAACGTCTGATCATTTTTCAAACAGCACCTATAGCAAGAGCTGAAATAGGAACAGAATTCCAGATTCCGGATTGCTATCCCCATGCGAACATTTTCAGCTAAATGCTCCACAGTTGTGAAGAAAATATAATTGGAAATTTAACAAAAACAAGAGAGAGATAACCCCAGAAAGAACAGGACCATGCTATCCAAAAAATAAAAAGATGAGAGAATCAGTGTGCAGGTATATGCTTTCCCTTCCTCTATTTATTTTTAGCGATCTTTCCAAAATATTTTAACTTGTAAGTTGTAAGCAACCAAACAAAGAGCAAAGTGACTGAAAATTTTGACCACATCATTACTCAAACCGGTATCCATGCATTGAGAAGGGGAACTAAAACTGAGGAAAAGAAGTTTACCTCAGCATGCGGCTGGCCAGCTTTTGGGTGAAAGCCTTCACCAACAACCTTGCCATCCTTGACAATAACACAACCCACCATAGGATTGGGGCTGGTGCACCCGATAGCCGTTCTTGCAAGCTCCACACACCTCCTCATATAGAACCCATCATCTGTATCCTCTTCTTGTGCCACTCCACACGTGACCGCAACAAACTTACCATGGGTTCTTAAACCAGTTGGTGATTTCGACACCCTTTTGAGGGAACTGCAAAAACCCGATTTGGAACTTGGATTCAACCTCAAAAGCTTGGTGGAAAGTTGCTGTGATAGTGAGACATTGGGTGGACTGAGGGTGTAACTTGGGAGTGAAAGTCTTTGAACTTGCATTTCTTTTGTTTGAAAATGTAAACCTCCGATCAGAGTTTTGCAACTTCAGCCAGATTTGTTTAAATGAGTGCAACTCCCTGAGTGAGCCTCGGGTTGTTCCTGCTCTTTAAGGCCAACTTATTCACTGTAAGAGCCGAGCAGCACAGATTTTCCGTTGTTTCAGTTTCTTAGAAACTGTGTTTCCGCAAAGCAAATGAATCAAGAACTAAAGAGAGAGACTAGAAACGCAGATAAACAGCGGCCATATGGAGTTCTATGGCCTCAATCTCTTACTGTGAGATGAGATCACTTGTGCGTATATTATCTTCTGATAACAGATATTTTAACTTGTAATCTAAACCCCCATGAGCACAACCATATTTTAACTTGAAATCATGCCCAAGCACCTGATGCAGGTTCGATTCCCACCGATTGCCCTCCCCTGACAAATAACTATTTAACACGCTAACGCTATCGGTCTACTTCAAAATAACTGAATCTGGAGACTGGAGATGCATACAGTATAGGAAAAATGAAAGACACGAACTTAAATCTAGTCCCACATATACGTTTGAAACCCGGAACCCAAGTACAATGAGTGTTACAAAAACTTGAACCAATTGAAGTCAAGAGTTGTTTAACAAAGAGAGCAAATCGTTTACCTTTGTGGCTGTGGGAATACAGAGTTTCAACGAAGAATTGAAGTGGGTGCAAATTCTTGTCAATCTTTCCCTTGAAAATGTAAACATCAGGCAAAAAGTGGAAGAAATTGTTGGCAGCCAGCGTTTGAGAGGGAGACTGAACCCAAAAAATAAAAAAATAAAAAATAAAAAAAATTGGGATTGAAAGGATATTGTTGGCAGTAGGAAACTGGTAAAAATGTAATGTTAAAAAGTGTCTGAGCCCGGGTTCGAACCGGGGACCTCTAGTGTGTGAGACTAGCGTGATAACCGACTACACCACCCAGACTGCTTGCCCATTGTGCTTTAGTTAACTATGATAACGGCTTGTTAGTAATTTCTATGCCACGATTGTTTATTCTCACTAAATTAGGTATATTGTTTTAACAACATAAGAATTTTATGTGTGTTTTTTTATTTTTTATTATTTTATTTTATTTTTAAATTTGGGAGGGGGAGTTTCAAATCCAATACGTATGAGTATAAACTCAAACACCCTATCCATTTGAATATTGGACTACATGTAGTTACTAAAACATGAATATTGGAATATTTGAATTTATGAGTTTTTTTGTGTTTACTTAAACATGAATATTGGAATTATCAAGGTTGGGGCTGAGGGAAGGCGTAAAGAAAGGTTATATGCATATTGAAGTGGAAAGTTGCAATAGTAAAAATCCATTGTCTTCGGTCTTGACGAATTTGTACCTACAAACTAAATAAGCACTTATGATTAAAGACCAAATCCACAAACTCAAGGAGTGGGGGAGGGGGGGAAGGGGTTAGCCAATAGAACTCCGATGCCTAAGTTAGTTTTCCGAAAAAGATAGAGGTTTAGGGCTTAATTGCGTAGCAAAAACTTACCAAAATTTGGTAGGAATGGGATATTTATAGGAGTTAAGGTTGCGTACATGTGTACGGTTTTCCATGTCATGTGTCGTCCGGTTGGCCAAGGTGTGTCATCTGTTGGATGGAGGAGAAATGATTATCTCGAAGATATTATTAATTAAATACCTTATTGGGTTTATCTTGTAGTATTTTTGATTGGATGTGTTTGTGATTCCTTATTTGATTGAATTGGTCTTCAATTTGAAAAAACATAAAGATAAGATTTATCAATTAATCCTATCTTTAATACCTTTGACATTTCTCCTTGCCATGGGTAGAAGAGCTTGATAAGGTTGTTGTCAGATGCTCAAGTCTTCAAGAGAGTTTAACTACCAATGGAATAAATGTGGGTCTCCCAAATTTAATAAGGGCATTCTCGTTATTAGCTGGTGAAAGTCCATATGTCAACTCCAAGATTTTTCGAATCAAATACCCCCACACCTACTTTGTTGCATGCAAGAAAGGGCAAGAGGGGTAGAAATCTCAAGTTAAGTGGATAAGCCAGAAGAGTTGATCGTTGTCGTCTTCTTCGTCGTAGCTACACCAAAGGTAAGAAAAAAATAAAACTTTTCCTCTTTTTTTTATTTTTGTTGTAGGTGAGCCGTGTTAGGACAACGACGTGCAATGAGCTGCAGTGCATACTTGGGTTAGCTCGGGTGAAGCTGAGGTGCTTGGAGGAGATGGGCCAATGGGCTTGCTTCGCTAGGTTGGATTAAGAAAGAAAAGAATAGCCTGGTGCGGGGCGATGAGCTTCTGCATGAGTGGGCCTATGGGCCAGCTGGAGAGAGAGATAGCTTGTGAAGCCTAAGCACTTAGCCATTAGGTTCTTGCGGTTCTAGGCCAAGGGGTGGCATGCTAGGCTACGTCTTACTGTGCTGGCTGTATTTATTATTTTCTTTATATCTCTTTGGCAATCTTCTAAGCACCTTATTGGTGTTTTTGCAAATGAAGTTTTCAATATGCCTGCTTCTAGCTGCAAAAGTGACGAGTATCTTCTGCCTAAGTATTGTCAGGGTGGGTCTTACTGTAAAGTCAGTTACTTTATGGCTACTCAAGTTAAGATTGATTGTGATGAGCTATTTGAGGATTTTCTTAGGACATATAAGCACACAATCCCATCCGGAGTTCGTGTGAAGCGTGTGAAAGGTGGAAGTAATCATAAGTTATGTACTAAGGCTACTAAAGCGAATAAGAGAGCTAGCAAGTTTCACCCGACTACTTCACAATGAGATTGATCTTTCCTATGTCGTGCTTTTTCCAAGAGGCAATCTGCTCTATGAGGTGTGTTCTTGCTCAATGCTCCTTAAATTCAATTTGTGCGAGGGTGGGATTCTCAAACTTGAGCAAGTTCTTCAATTTAGGCTTGAACATCAATGAGTTCTAGTATTTTTTGAGATTGACAACAATGATGGCGTGGGGCAGTGAAGTCTCGCCATAAGCTTTTCAACTCCTAGAGCATGAGTGATCATGAATGGGTCAGGGACACTCTGGAGGTAAGTGAAGAGTGGGAGTCTTTGGAGGTAGGTGGAGAGTGAGAGTCTGTCTCTTCACCTGAGTTGCGTGTTCCGACTACATTCATTGATGGTAACTGAACTACTCCTTCTTGGTCAGCTTGGAATTTTTATTGAGCTGCTATTAACTTCAAGTTACTGAATATCTTTTTTTTTTTGCAGATTTCAAGTTTGGCTCAACTCCCAAGACCAAGTCTAACATGAAGAAAGTGCATGTCATTTGGACATTCTCGTTGAGTATAGCGAATGGCATTAAGTGCTCAGCCTTTTGGCAGGGATAAATGTGGGCTGTCTCTAAAGGAAAAGTTTAAGCGGATCAAGCAAGATGCATTCACCCGTTTGATCTACTGTCGAGCCAAACGTCAGTTAGCCAAACGCCAGTTAACTAAGCCTTGTTGAAGACTATTATGGCTAATTCCTAGAGCGTTAACACATTCTGTTATGCTTAGTTACACCTGGGCAGCAAAACCCATCCTTGTGTGGATATCAAGATAGTTTACCTTCTCATGGAGAAAAGCATGCCTCAAAAGGGTGTTGGGGAATTAGTTTACCCTCTCATGATGGAGGGCATACCAGATTAGTGTTAGGGGATTAGTTTTGCCTTCTTACGTTAGAGAGCATACCCATATGGGTGTTGGGGATTAGTTTACCATATCGCGTTGGAGAACATACCCTAAGAAGGGTGTAAGAAGTAGCTTACCCTCTCCCTTAGGAGAGCGGACCCTGAGAAGGGTGTTAAATGGTAACTTACCCTCTCTTGAATGAGAACATGAGTGTTGTTTTTGAACATGCATTTGAGCCAAATTTATGAATAACTTCTCAAATCTTCATTGAAAATAGGTGAAATGTATCCAACTTTGTTGGAAAGTAGAACTGCAAAACAACCTTGAAAATTATTGGCTTGCGAGGTCTTGTTTGTCAATCTACTTGAGATTTTGAACTTATTTGGCTTGGACGAGATTCAAGAAGTGAAGGTTAGGTCAGACATAGTACATTATCATATTGCAGGCATTCCACTACTTCTCAATTTTGTTGTCATTCATGGTGGTTAGTGTGTAACTATCCTTCTGCTTACTCTGTTGATTTAGTAAAGACCTTCTCAGGTGGGATCCATCTTTTTGGAGCCTTCTCTACATGCATTAATGAAGGCTTTTCTCAAGACTATGTTTCTAGCCTGGAACTATTAGATCTTGGCCTTTTCGTTATAGTTGGAGAATAGTTGTTGTTGATAAATTGCGATTTTGGTGATAAGCCTTGTCGCATTCTTCCTTTGCCAAGTCCAAGTTGTTGGCCACCTCCTTCTCCTTCAACTCCAGATTTGGCAGAGCAGTGTTAATGGTTGGCATGATGACATTGGGGGAGATAATCGCCTTGGAGCTGAATGTTAGGAAGAAGGGAGTTTTGTCGATTGCTCGTCGTTTGGTTGTAGATACGCCTATAGAACAATAGGGAGCTCGTTTGGCCACTTCCTTTTCTTGTTTATGAGTGACTTCTTGAGGCAGTCTAAGATAATCTTATTGCATGCCTTGGCCTACCCATTACCTTGGGGTAATCTTGGTGTAGACATGTGCTGCTTAATGCCATATTTTTGGAAGAACATAACCAAGTCTTTGCCTACGAACTCTGCGTCATTGTTTCTTTCAAAAGAGTGAGATTTTGAATCTATGTTTGTCTGGGTGGTTGTAGTCATGGGTTCAACTTCAACCCATCTGGTGATCATGATGTTTCTGCCCTAGTAGCAAGCGACATTGGTCCCACCAGGTCAATCGTCAACTGCATGAATGCCTCAATGGATTGTCTATGGATAGAGCTTGAAGCGCTGTCAGTTGTCGCATATTTGTAGAAGTTCTTTAGCATCTTAAGGCATGGTTGACCAGTAATAGCCTACGTTAAGAGCTTTTTAAGCCAAGGAACGGCCACTAGAGTGCCTTCGTGGATCATGCTCAAAACCTTCAGGTCATCAGGAGGCGCCAAGTAATGGAGATGTGGTCTTATGAAGGATCTTCGAACGAGCATGCCGTTCACATGTAGTTGCGTCCTGCCTTCGCTTGGAGCTTTACTTGATGCCTAAGTCAGTTTCTCTGAAAAGAGACTTTTAAGAGCTTAATTGGGTAGCCAGAGCTTACCAAATTTGGTGGAGAATGTGTATTTATCGGAGCTAAGACCGACCACATGTGTAGGGCTTACCATGCCATTTGTTAGTATTCGGTTGGCCAAGGTGTGTTATCTGTTGGATGGAGGAGGAAAAAATTATCACGTAGGTATTATTAATTAAATAATTTCTTGGAATTATCTTGTAGGATTCTTGATTGGATGTGGCTATGATTTCTTGCTTAATTGAGTTGATGTTAGGAAAACATAAGATATTATTTAGTAATTAATTCTATCTTAAATACCTTTGAAAAAAAAAATCAGAAATCATACCAAGTAAAAAAAACTATAAATTGATCATATGAGTCATGAAATTTCGCAAAAAAGGAAAAGAAAACGAAGGCTTTCGAAATACCGAACAGAAGTTGTTTTGAATTAATAGTAATGAAAAATAAGGGAAGGAAAATGAAACACTAATGTCGGATATTCCTACATCTTAATTGACAAGGAAAATTAAATCGTATCAACACTATCCCTAATTAACAATCGTGGACTTCTCTATTACAGAAAGTATCACACAATCAAAATCATAACTATCCCAAAATGCCCTCAACGAATTTAAAATTTTCACTATAAATTTGAGGCATATCGAGGCTTTGTTTTTCTGCATTCTTCTTGACTTATTAGCTCCCAGATTATTCAGCATGGCTTCCCCCAATTTATTTGGTTTGATTTGCCTTCTTATGTTTTTATTGACTACTCAAAATGCAGTTCTTGGTGATATAGACTATGGCGATGCTCTCACCAAGTCTTTGTTGTTTTACGAGGCTCAACGTTCCGGTAAATTGCCTTCCACGCAAAGAGTGCAATGGCGTGGAGATTCTGGGCTTAAAGATGGAAGTGATGCTGGTGTAAGTTCACACAAATTTAACTTTGCTCCCTTTGATGATGAACAATTGAACATATAGAAATTTTCTTTGGGAAAACGATTCGTGCACGCCCTTCTTCTCCTGTTGCATACCCTGCCTGTTTATTTTGTTCCTTAATTCTCCTTTGATTTATTCAAACTAAATCCTAGATACAAACAGACCTGTTAATGGGTAGAAACAGGTGTACGAAAACATACTTTCTTCAAAATCACAATTAACAATTGTTAGCATCCACAGTACACATTCGAAAACTAACGCTAGCATTTAGAATTTTGCAGCATGTTATGTTAGAGAAATTATTTTCTTATTCGTTACATGACCTTCCGTATACTACTTGATCACATATAACAGGTTGATCTTGTGGGAGGATATTATGATGCTGGTGACAATGTTAAGTTTGGATTTCCCATGGCATTCACAATAACAATGCTTTCATGGAGTACATTGGAGTTCACCAAACAACTCGAGGCCAAGGATGAGCTGTCAAATGCATTGGATGCCATCAAATGGGGAACGGATTATCTGATCAAAGCACACACTACGCCGAATGTCCTCTATGGTGAAGTTGGTGATGGTGATTCAGATCATGAGTGCTGGCAGAGACCCGAAGACATGACCACTCCGCGAACAACCTTTAAGATTGATGAGCAACACCCAGGATCTGACCTTGCCGGTGAAACTGCTGCTGCTTTGGCTGCAGCTTCCATTGCTTTCAAGGATAAAAACCCTAAATATGCATCCGACCTTTTGACGCATGCAAAACAAGTAATACTCTAACCAGATCTCGTACCCTATTTTTGGGTTAAAAAATTTCGTACTATATTATTCATATTATTACTTTTCACATATATAATTGGTGTACCAATATCTAAGGATATATGAAAATTTGCAGTTATTCGAGTTTGCTCGCAATCACCCTGGCATTTATTCGAATAGCATTTCAGCAGCAGGAAAATTCTATGCCAGCAGTGGATATGAGGTAATAATTAACATTTAACATGGGGTTTATGCAAGTATTAAGTCTAATTAATCAGTTGAATCTTTGTGACAAAATTTTAAAAAATTGTGTACTTTTGTTTCTCGTCAGGATGAGCTATTATGGGCTGCTTCATGGCTTCATCGTGCTACTGATGATAAAACCTACCTGGATAATCTTGGCCAAGCAGGCAATACTGGTGGTGCTAGAACTGTGTTTGCTTGGGATGACAAGTTTATTGGCGCACAAGTCCTTGTTGCAAAGGTACTAGACCGATCTGTGTGTATCGCTGTAAATTTATTTATCATATAATTTGATATATTATGTTAATTGTTAGACAATATTGAATTATAGTTGTTGAAAAACTGTAATATGTCTAAATATGTGGTACGGATTCATAATATGACGATAAAATATACGCAGCTTGTTTTGGAGGGCAAGGTAGACTCTGCAGGTGCATGGGGACAATACAAGAGCCAAGCTGAGCAATTCATTTGCTCTTGCATTCAAAAAGGTAACAACAATGTGAAGAAGACGCCTGGTGGGTTGTTATGGTTTTTGCCATGGAACAATCTTCAGTACACTTCAACTGCTGTATTTGTCGCAACCGCATATTCAGAGTACTTGAACGCCAAGCATGCCTCCATTCAATGCCCTGGGGGCATTGTCAAGCCGTCTGATCTTATTGCCTTGGCCCAGTCACAGGTATAAATATCTTTTTCATCCTTACAGACGACGGACAATTGTTTAGGGTTAACATATTTGTTGATGAAGTAGGATGCTCTAAACTTAAAACTTTATTCTCTTTCCAATTTATTAGGTGGACTATATCTTGGGATCGAATCCAGAGGGTATGAGTTTCATGGTTGGATTTGGGACAAAATATCCGACCCAAGTTCACCACAGAGGAGCATCCATTGTTTCAATCAAGGAGAATTCAGCTCCTGTTTCATGCAAAGCTGGGTTCGACTTGTGGTTCAACAAGACCTCGCCAAACCCGAATGTATTGGATGGAGCAATCGTTGGTGGCCCGGATGAGAATGATGGCTACTCAGATTCAAGGTCGAACTTCCAAATGGCTGAACCAGCAACTGTTTCTACAGCACCACTAGTAGGTGTCCTCGCTAGGCTTGCCTTAGTTAATTGGTAGTTTTCATCCGTTGTCCTGAACTTGGCCACTGTCTAGGGTTGTATTCTATCATTTTCTCTAGTTTCCAACAAAAATCCCATTGTCCTGAACTTTAACTCTATAATGTAAAAACTAATTTACTTTTAATCTATATTTAGGTCATAAAGGCCAATTGCAAGATATGAGACCAACCATAAAGCATTTGATCATGATCAATTTTGTAAGCCTACTTGAGTATTGAACATTCATCTGCAAGAACTGAGTTCCTTGCAATGATTAGTTGTTGCAACAGCGAAAAAGAGAATCAATTTCCTTACATAGAATCATTCATATATGTGTGGATATGGATAACATATCAATTTTTGTTTATATGTATCCGTTTGATTCGTTTGATTCGTGCTCGAGCTGGATGATGAAAAAAATTATCATGTCCGGTCCTTTCGGGGAATGGATCCTTTCATGTACGTAGAACTTTCGTATAAGGTTGCCTACCTTGGTTGTCTTTCAATCAGTCAATTATTTATCGTCACAAATTGAGTATAAGTTAATGACATATCTCTCCATCACATCATGAACTCATGTAGGATTACACAGAGAGAAAAAACATACCCATTAATTCTCTTATGCATAGTGACTTTTTATGCGTTAAAAACATTTGTCCATGTAAATACGTTTTTTACTTGTGTAACAAAAGACCAATTGCATGTGTTTTTTATTCCCCTCTCAAAATTGCTTACAAATATTTCAAATACATGTAGCCAACGGTGGAGGTACGTAAATTAAAAGTCATCCTGAGTTGTACCATGTAGCTTTGGTTGAAAAACGAGAAGTTTACTAGATATATATGTTAGTAAGGGCAGTTAGTTAGAGATAATTCTCCCTATTATCTTATCTATCAGTTTATATTTGAATTGTAATTTAAACTTCAAATGTAATTGTTTAGATGAGATAGGACTCTTGTATCTCTACTGTATAAAACAATGTATACTAGCATTACGGAAGTTAATGAGAATTAGAAAGTTTACATGGTACCAAAGCCTTGAATTTTTTTTTTCATGGCTGAGGAAAATTAGTCAACATTGCCATCATCACACTCTACTCCGGTCCTAAACCACGAAGCACATAAGGCAGCAAATCTTCATTGGCAACAGGTTGTCCAATGGACGCCAGCTGATCAGCAATGTTCTTAGCCTGACAAAGATAATCCGTAATGGATTTTGTCCCCTTTTGAAGTGTGTTGATGCACAAAATCGGTGAGGACTTTGGTACAACAAAAAGTGTTAAGTTTGTGACCTTCGCTAGATTGCTCCGGTCACTAGTGTGGATAAGTATGTACGTGGTTCACCCAGATTGGCTACGTCCACGAAGTAGAGGAGTTCTCATTAATTGTGAAGGGTTTACACAAGTACATAGGTTCAAGCTCTCATTTTGTGAGTACTAGTGAATGATTTAGTACAAATGACATTAGGAAATATTGTGGGAGAATGATCTCCTTTTATATAAGAGAGTTTTTAGCTTTGTTTTGACATTGACACGTGTCGTATTGTGATTGGCTTATGATGTTGACACGTGTCGCGCTATGATTGCTTCTGATGTCGACACATGTCGCGCTATGATTGGCCTCTTGGGAGGGAAACTCTTTTGGGTCCTTGACGGTATAACGTTGACCGGTGCTCAGTAGTTTCGGGATTGGTCAAGTATGGTACAAACAGTGCTCCCCTAAGTTCCCGAGTGAGGGAAGCTCCTCGGTTGGGGAATTGCAAGATCCAAGCTGCTGAGTAATCACAAAACTTCTACGTACCGAAGTGTGGTATCATCTTCACTTGCCTTATCTGTCTCATAGGTAGATGTGACATCTTTTCTGGAAGTACTTTTCCTCTATCTAGGGGTGGTATCTTTAACTGGTGGAGATGCACAAGGTAATGTATCAATTTGACTTGAAGTTTAGTTGTAGTTTCAAGCTTGGTCAAGCACGATACAAACCATGTAGTAGGAGTCCCCCTAGTCGCCAAGCTAGGAGATCTGCCGAAAGAGGTGACAGACAAGGTAAGCAATTAGAGCTCCCAGCAATCAGTCCCAGATCAGAAGTTTGATTTCGAGTTTAGGCTGATTGTTCTCATTCTCCCTATCTTGCAGGCAGCAAGAAGGATAAAGAGAAGAAAAAGGAGAAGACATGATATGAGATACTTTTTCTTTTGAAGAAGTAACTTTCCACATGCTTATTCTTAAACTGGGCTGAAGGGTTTTCTGGTTTCCTCCAAAGTATAAGGTCGACTCAAGAATTTGAAGGTCAAAACAAGTCCATCAAATCTAGAGTACGTTTGACCCTGATGATATGGGATACTTTTGCTGTTGACAAAGTAATGGATGTATCAGCATGTGTTATGTTACGCTTGTCTCCACATGCTTCATTGTATCCTTTTCACTTGCCATATTTGTTCCTCAGGCAAATGTGGTATCTTCTCTAGAAGCATAAGATGTTGAAGATGAGTACTTGAGAGCAATGCCAAGTAAGTAATCAGGCAAGGAGTCCCAGGCAATCAGTTCTTCACTGGAAGCTTGATTCCAAGTGCTGACTGATTGCTCTCTTTCTTCTTGTCTTGCAGGTAAGAACAAGGCCAAAGGAAAAGATAGGGAAAAAGCATGATATGGGATACTCTTGCTTTTAACCCTGATGATATGAGATACTCTTGCTCTGGTGTGGCTTGTTTGCAGAGGTATTATCGGGGGGAAAAGAAGCTGAGTATTTCGAGAGACTTTGCTGAGAGTGTCCTCTCGGATATGAAGAAAAGTTGAGCATTTTTTTTATTTGTAAGTCTGCCTGGCTGTGGAGGATGAAGGTCAACATATATAGGAATTCTCCCTAACAACGAAGTAGGTCAATGTTGTTCCTTTACCCTTCTCGGCCATAGCAATGTAGTGGGAGTTGCAAGATTCACGTGTTTTAACTTTGTTAGAGCACTTTGAAAAAGTGGTCTATTGTATCTGGAAAGCTGATGTTGTGTGTGAAGATTGCAGACAAGCTTTATCCAAGGAAATCTGGCTCTCGAAGTTCGGAGAGAGGTGCCTCTTCGGTTTTCGAACAAGCAATCTTGTCGGGGATCTGGCTCTCGAGATTTGGAGAACGGTGCCTCTTCGATTTTTGAGAAAGCAATCCTGTTGGTAGTCTGGCTCTAGAGATTCGGAGAGTGATGCCTCTTCAATTTTTGAGCAAGTAATCCTCTTTGGAGTCTAGCTCTCGAGATTCGGAGAGCGATGCCTTTTCAATTTTTTAGCAAGTAATCATGTTAGGAGTCTAGCTCTCGAGATTCGGATGGCGGTGCCTCTTCGATTTTTGAGCAAGTAATCCTGTTGGGAGTTTGGCTCTCGAGATTCAGAGAGCGGTGCCTCTTCGATTTTTTAGCAAGCAATCTTGTTGGGAGTGTTTTCTCGAATGTGAGTAAAGGTTGGACATTTTTGTCAGTCTGCCTTGCCACGGAGCACGGAGGTTGACACACATAGGGACTTGCCAGTTATCAAGCAATGGTGCTGTTCTTTTACCCTTGTGGGTAATAGTAAGGTAGCTGGACCTTCAAAATTTATGTGTCTAAACTTTGTCAGAGATCTTTGGCAAAGTTATCTGTGGTACTCGAGGAGCTGATGTTGCGTGTGGAGAGTGGTGCCTCTTCAAAATCCGAAGAGTGGTGCCTCTTCGATTTTTGAACTAACGGCCATGTTGCCCTTTCTTTTATAAGGGCACCAATTGTGTGTAAGAAGTACATTCAGAAAGTTATTGCTTGTAGGAATTTTCCCTTTATTTTTGTACTTCAGAGATTTATTGCACCTCATTTCTCCTTCATCATTTCTGAGAATGTCTGGCCCATCCGACCGTCGTTTTGACTTGAACTTTGGTGAAGAGGCAGCCATGCCTTCTCAAGACAACATATGACGCCCATCCTTCTTATCCCCTACTGGTCCTCTTACTGTTGGGGACTCTGTGATGAAGAATGATATGACCGCTGCGGTGGTGGCCAGGAACCTTCTCACTCCCAAAGATAACAGACTATTTTTCAAACGGTCTGATGAGTTAGTTGTTAAGGATTCTCTGGCTCTCAGTGTTCAGTGTGCAGGTTCTGTGTCTAATATGGCCCAACGCCTATTTGCTCGAACCCGCCAAGTTGAATCATTGGCGGCTGAAGTGATAAGTCTCAAACAGGAGATCAGAGGGCTCAAGCATGAGAATAAACAGTTGCACAGGCTCGCACATGACTATGCTACAAACATGAAGACAAAGCTTGACCAGCTGTAGGAATTTGATGGTTAGATTTTACTTGATCATCAGAGGTTTGTGGGTTTGTTCCAAAGGCATTTATTGTCTTCGTTTTCTGGGGCTGTACCGTGTAATGAAGCTCCAAATGACCAACCTTCGGTGCCTCTTCCTTCTGAGATTCTGCCCAGTACTGAGGCTCCGAATAATCACCCTCCAGTGCCTTATTTTTCTGGGGCTCTGCCGACTGCTGAGACTTCTCCTGAGCAACCTTTGTGAAGGCTCCCTCTTGTTTGTTTATTTTGATTCATGTATATGTACATATTTGTAACTTATCGGAGATATCAATAAAGAAGCTTTGCTTCATTTCAACGTATTATGTTAAATACACCAAGGCATTCTTCACTAAGTTCTTTGAATTTTTTCTTTTGTTGAAGCTTGTATGTTGAAGCATGTATGTTGAGGTAGTGCTCCCTTAATTTCCCGAGTGAGGAAAACTTCTCGGTTGGAGACTTGAAAAATCCAAGTCACTGAGTGGTCGTGAGACTTCCGAGTATCAAGGTGCAGTAGCATATGGTAGGAGTCCCCCAAGTCTCCGGTCGAGGGAGTTGACGAATGAGGCATTTCCTTTCTAAGTGGTAGCCCAAAACTCCTCCTTCATATATATTTGTTATGAAAGTTGTTAGGCCCAAAGAAGAGGAGGCCTAGGCAATATTTGTTTTTTCTAATTTTTTTTTTCGAATTTTTTTTTTCGAATTTTCGAATTTCCGAAATT